GGCTGGAGAAGAGCTGAGAGCAGGCAGCACTATTTTCCTTTCTGAGGAGAGTGTTAGTTAATGAGGGTTGAGTGACACTTAGTCACCGAGCAGCTGAACACAACACTAGATGCTAGAAGGGGCTTAGTCCCCTGCCTCTCTTTATGATCATGTTAGAGCTACCAGGCTCACAGCTCTGCCTCCCGAGCACTGTAAAGCCCATGTTCCTAGAATAGGTTTTCCAGTGGAAGCAGCAAATGATTATGAGTCTGAATTTGTTCCTTTGCTGAGGTTACATGGCTCCCTGACCTTGGAGTGAGGTCTCTGAGCTGTGTGCATTCTGCAGCATTTTCATGTTCATGACAGTAGTCAAAAAGGTGTTGTTTGTATCTCTTTGCTTTAAAGGAAATCTGGTTATGAATGTTATGGAAGAGTTAAGTGATGTGGAGCCTGAGGACTGAGGGAAAGAGGATGAGAAGACAGCCTGCCTTGCTGATGAACTTGGCTCCTAAAGAAGATGATTGACTGGATTCAGCAGGGTAAGGGAACAGTAGGTGCTGGTCCAGAAAGGCATGGCAAGAATGTGTGGAAAGGCCTGGTGCCCCCGCACTGTTTTATGGATGAACTGCCTTTAAGGTGTTCAGGCTGGGGACAAACTCCATTTGGAATCACCTCTTGTCACACAGGCTTCACATCTGACATTTTGAATGTCCTTGATGATTTATACATGATTTCAATGTTGTTGAACTTGTGACAGCTGAAACTAAACAGTGCTGTTTGTTTCTGAAGGGCTCCTGTAGGCAGCTTTATCCGTGTGTATTGGGAGAGCACTGTGGTGTATCAAAGGTGTGGAGATATTGCCCAGGAAACTGGGACAGAACACCATTTAGAATAATAATTACTCAAATCCATACATACTATGATTTTCAGTGATGACCTTTAATTAAAAATGAATTAATTAAACATTCCTCTGCTGTTTTGCCTAGAGGAGTTGGTTTTGTACTAAGTGCATCAGTTGTTAATGTTTGAATAATTAGGGTGGGACTTTTGTATAATTAAAATGATACATTAAATTGTTGTTACAGTTTGATGTGTGTGTGCATGTATTTTTTTTCTAGTCAAATGTCAGATGTTGCCCTGAACAGCTCTGTGTAAAAAACTTGTCTGGAGAGAGATTTAGGCCTCAGTATTTTTCTTCTATAATGTCTGTCTGCTGCTGTAGAGGTGAGCACAGTAAAATAAACAGACTTTTCTGCTACTTGTATTAATAATCCCTTGCTCAATGCAAGAAGTAAAGAAACTATACTAAGCTGAACATTTATCTTTTTGTTTAATGTAGTAGATGATCTGCTGGAATGCTTTGCAGCACACAGCGTTTTGGGGCTGAAGTGAAAGTGGCAAATTTAGAACTGCCCAGAGGAAAACCAGAAAAATTAATATATCCATAGCAAAGAATCTGATGTACAGCTTGTTATGTAGTAGATTTACAACAGGATCTTTGCTCCCAGCAGTGTTCCAAACCTGCTCTTAAAACTGCTGTCTGCTTGGGAAAATCTGGATACTTTTCAAAATAAAATAATCTGCAAATAGAAATACCAGCAGCGCCCACAAAGCAGGTTCCTCTGCAGATGGTTTGTTTTTTATAATATAATGATTTAAGAAAATAATAATGTACAGTATGAATAGTTGAACAGTCTCCTTCCCAGATATTTTTCTAAAGTCATATTCAGTGTTGCATTACTCCTTAAATCTCAAAGCAAGGTGGAGTCCAGCCCATTCCACCGACTGTTGCACAGTGATTGCAGATACACTGCATATACAGCACTGTTTGCTCTGTTTTACTGGGCCAGTGACTGCTTCCAGATTGCCAACCCAAACTCCTTATTTTCCTTTTCCTCCATCTTTCTGAACTGTTGGGGATGAACCAGAAGGCTCTACTTTGCCTGTTGGAAGGATGGGATGGCACTCCAGGAGGGTCTCTCTCACTGCACTGCTGCAGAATGAGTGGGAATCTCCAGAGGGATGTAGCAAGTTTAAGGAAGAGCCAGTGAAACTGGCAACTAAACTGAACAAGGAGGTGGAGGAGTTGATTACCAGGGGAGTCTAAAAACAGAGTCTTCAGTTTGGGGAGGAGAAAGTTGAGGGGGGATATGACTTGGTTTTAGATCATCATGTTGGCTGTGGCAAAGTAGCTGTAAAACCAGTGCCAAACCGTGGTACTTCCCTACACCTGAAGGACGAGGGGAAGCAGGGGCAGGGGGGAAGGATGTCTGAGCAGCCTGGTTGTCTTCTGAAGGGAAAGGATGGACTTCTAGCCCAGACTAAAGTCTTAACAGTTACAGCTGGTTTTCCTACAGCATTGAAGTGAGGCCAATCCTGTTTAATATGCATAATCATATCATCAGTCAAATTTTGGTGTAATTTCAGACTTCCACATTTTAGGAAATTAGTCCCTGAGTTCTTGCACCTATCCCTGCATGGGAAAGTAAAGGATTTGGTAAGAGAATTAAAGTGGGTAACTCTGCAGCTGACAGGATGAATTATCTTATGTGGATTATTCAAGGTTTCATTCTTCCATTTTGTGCCCAGCTTGTCCTTTTTAACCAAGGAAAAAGTGTTCCTTGACAACTGGTATTGTCATACTGTGCATTTAAGGACTTCAAAGTGAATAATTTTAATTCCAGACTTAGTGCCAACCAGTGTTTCCAATAATTAAACTCTCTGATCTCTTCTGACTCCATTTATTTAAATAAATGACTTAGGGATAATGAAATCAATTTGGATTGAAATGGAATGATTTGGATTAGTCAAGTCACTCAGAGGTTGTTCCAGCCTAAATCATCCCAGAATTTTATTGTTTTTTGTTAAGGCTGAAGCCACATAGTCTTTGGTCAAATTAATAAAACTTGGGAAGGAAAAGGAAAGGATGCCCGCTTCTGAAATGTTTCTGCATGCAAGCTGCTACTGGTTGCAGTAGGAAATCTGCATATAGCACTTGTCACCATTATAATTTTCAGATTTCTGAGGACTCGCTCCCTTGCTGCACAGATCAGAACTTCTGTAGATGTGAGTCCTAACACCTGACACTTCTGGCAATCCTCTGTCCTCACTGCAAGTCCCTGGGTCATCATAGAGCCACAAGCTCTTGTTTGTTCCCTGAAGGGGAAAACCTGGAATTAGGAGCCAGTTCCTTAATGTCTACTCACACCACTAATTTCATTACTTCAGTGGAATTACTTGTGAGGGTGCGGAGTGGACAGCGTTAGTTAAGTATGCAAGTTTTCATCCCAATTTATCCAGAGGTGTCTGTGACACTGTCCAAAACCTTATTGTGGATTTGCATTTTCTGTAGGAGCTTTGGAAAAATGAAAACAAACCCAAGAGATTCTAGAAGGATCATGTAATATGTCCTTTTTGCAAACATATGTAGGATTCATCTGTCATTCCCCTGCAGCAGACTGCTCTATGTTAACACTTGTGGTATCGGCTTCTACATCTGGACTGAAGCAGGTTTTCATACGGCAGTAATTATAATACTCTTTCTAGGTTTTTTTTTTCTTATTGGAATTAGATGCACCCAGTTGGAAACCTCTGAATCCACAGCAAGAGTATAGCTGCTTTTTCCACATTAATGAGTAATTAATTTTGAACAGCAATCCAAAGAAATATTTAATTGCTTACCAATAAAGTCAGCTTGCTGCAAAGAAAAATTTCCCTCCCCTTAAAAAAATAGTTTTTATGACAGAAGAATTCTTTATGATGTGAAACATACCTATTTTGGAACAGTGAAAACTTCAATTAAATCATTCTTTCGGGCAAGTGGGTCTGGTTTTCCCATCTTTTGCCTAATATTTTACTACTGCAACATTAGCATTAGTCACAGAGTTATGTCTCTGCTTAGCTTGCCAGAACGTAAGGGTGAAATTCAAATGCAGAGAAAGACTTTGTGGAAACTATTCCTGAAATCAGAGAGGGACTGCATGTTTTATTGTAGCCCAGGCCACTGAGAGAGCTCCAGATGCCACACAGATGCCCAGGCAGTGATGTGTCCATACACACACCTTTGAGTTTTACTTTCCTGTATCCTCATAGGTACAACGAGTAGGCTTGGCTTGGACATTTCTGAAAGAGCCCTCACCCAAACCAGAAGACTTACTTTGGCTTTACTTTTTTTTTACAGTGAGTAACATTCTTCTCTTGTTTCTTCTTGCTGGCCTTTCCCACTGGCTGTTGGATATTGTCCTCAGCCAGGCAACGTTAGTGGCAAACTTGCTCCTTATTCCATGGGGTGATCCCCTATGCATCTATTTGTGATCTCACGCTGTTTTCGCTTTATTTTATGCAACCACCTTTAGTGGAAGCATTTCTGGTTTTATTTACTAATTACCGTCAGGGTTTTATAGTCTTACTGGTACAATCTACTCGAAAGTGCCCATAAGCTACAGCAAATACAAAACATTTCTTTTTACAAAACAATTTTTTTTTCACAAAATGTGGTTTAAATAACAGTCGTAGGCATAGTTCCCTGGGAGAACCTTCCAATTTTTTCATGACAGGCTCTGTTTCCTATTAAGAAATGTGTTCTTTTGATCAAGGTGCAAATCGACTGTTTCTCATGCTCTTCCAACACTAAATATACACTTATTTCAAGACATCCAGAAGCTTCATGTACCTGCAGATGGCTGATTTTTTACATCCCCTTCCTCATGGAGTACCTCACGTTGTGAAATGGCTTCTTTAGTTCCTGATGTTCCTCAGTCCTGGGATTACAAATTCTTCCTGCCCATCTCCAAAGGCACACACAGGGCTGGTGATCTCATATCCCAGAGCTGCCCCGATCTATGGGAGCCCACACCTGCTTGGTTCACCTTCCTTATTGTCTGTCCCAGTCTGCAGCTGTGCTTTGTTTTCCCTCATAACACTTGGCAGTGTTTTTTTATGGCCAGTGTGCAACGATGGCATACAAATGAATCAGAGAGCCAAACCTCCAAAGAAAATTAAGAGAAACAACAAATCGCACCTAGAGAAGCAAAGCATCTGGGGTACTCAAAAGAGAATACTATGGAGGAAGATGAGCTCTTGTTTCCTTGGAGCGTTGGGAGGGATTTACAGAGGAGAAGGAGCGGGGAGGACAAGGAGCGGGGGGCGCTGCTGAGGCCGCGGTGATGGCGGCGCTCCCGTCTCATGAGGCACCGGACTCTCAGCTCTGGCGGGTCCTGCCCAGGCTCCTTGTGGGCGCCGGTCCCTCCCCCTTTCCATGGGAAAAGGGAATGTTGGTTCACGCCACAGATCAAACAGGTAAAGGCTCTGGTTGTGAGGGAGTGATTCCCTTGAAATTCCCCAGCGTGTCGCGTGGGCGGAGGTTCGAGCAGAGCGCAGCGATGGCTCCGTGCTGGGGCAGGGCTGCTGGGTTGCCCCATATAATGCACCTGCTTTACTGCAGCCCTGGCGGCGCTGAGGGGAAAACCTGCATGGAGAAGGTTATCCTGTATTACGCTGGTGTTTGTTCACCGGTGCAGAGCAAAACCCCACCCACAACGCTCCAAGGAAGGGGTTCGCCTGTGGCAGGAGGGTGGTGGTGGCAGGAGGGGAGTTCGCCACAGCTCTTGTACAGCAGGGCTGGGGAGTTCCCGGAACGCCTCGATCTGCTTGTGCCAGGAGAGGCCGAGGGAGCTTTGTGTGTGTTGGCTCAGTCACGTCGCACATTTCTATGTAGTAGCTTAACTTAAACGTGTAACTTTCATCAGTGGCTATATCTAAGTCCTTACTGAGAAGGCCAAGTTCAGGCTAAAGGCTTACATAGTAAGTAATAACTACAATTTAAAATCAAGTTTTGGAAGGCATATATGGCACTGGCTTTCACAGTATAAATCAGGCCTGTAAACATGTTACCCATGCTTAATGCACCTTTATACTTGATATCCATTTTGAAAGTTCTTGCTTTCAGACTATTTTTACCATTTGAGAAGTCTAAAAGAAAAAAACCCACCAAAACCCAAACCCAACAAAAAACCCATGTAACTTAAAAACAGGAAACATTTAAGACTTAAGCCAAAATACCTTTATTTTTTTAAGTAATTGAACACAGTTATTCGTGGCTTTGGATTCCTTGGACCTAAATTTAGCTATGATGGATTTTTGGCCCTAATGTCAGCCCTGTGAGACTTGTGCTTATTCATGCTGAACTTCTTCAGTCTGAGACGATGCAAGGTCAAATGAAATCTGACTCTTTCGGACCAATTTATGTCTTTACAGTGCTTCTTACTGGCTAAACTAATTTGGTTTGTTTACACCAGCTTCCAAGTTCAAAAGTGAAACTTTAGAAGAAGACAGTTAACCAGTGGAACAGATTGCCAGCAGTGTGGTGTGAATTTTCCATTACTCTCAGTCTAAAACAAGCAAGTTTCTCTAGAAAAAATCCAGGTGGGTTGTGTTGAAGAAATTCCAGTGAAATGTCTGTTTGTGCAATAGATAGTCCAAATTGCTCTCGGAGCCACAGAATAGACTGGAGCTCAGGAAGGCACTTGCCTTCTAGGGTAACCAACTCTCAATCTGTCAGGTGAAAGGACCTAATACTATAAGAAAGGTCACTGTAGGCAAGAGATTGTTGTGCTGTGAGGACTGTCCACACTGTTTCAGTATGACTGTGTTACCTTCAGTTTAAAGCTCTGTTTTTGAGGACCTCTCTGCATGAGAGTTACAGGTATTTATATAGTAATATAAAGAAATTAACTTCTTTGTGTAACTGTAGGAAAAGGATCGGTCAAAGATATTTTTATACCAAGTTTCTAGATTTCCCCTTCTAATCTCAAGCTTGTCAAATTGATTAGTGATTATGACAGTGTTTAAATCATGCAGATTCTAAGTAGACATTAAATAAGCTAGCTCTTAGTGGGTGATTCATGGGACAGGGTGCTATAGTTGTTGAAGCTCAGTCAGGAAGGCTTTGTTCAATACCTGACCTTGGGCCCACTGAGTAAAATCAGGCAGTTAATTCTCTTCTTGCCCTGGTTTTGTCAAATCAGTGGTTTTACAGACCTTTTTTGGACTTGAAATGTTTGTGATGTCTGAGAGCTGTTTGAATTATAATCCTGTGGAAGTACAGTCTGTGTACAGATTTGGTTTGCATGATGTCTCCAGTGCTAGTGTTCTAGAGCAGCATGTTATAACTATGGCAGTTCTAAAGTGTAGGTTTTTTTCTCTTAAAGGTTTAAACCTCCCTGCTAGAAAAAGGGTGTTTCGTTTTCAGACTTCAGTGAGAGAATGAAGAAATGAAGAACCTTTGCAGAAAAAGAGCTAGAATGTATCACAGTGGAGTGGGATCTCCAGCATGGAGACCTAGAGGAAATGCAGTAGCTCAGAGCTTAGGAAGACCCAGTGGGGAACTTGTAGCAGACACACAGACTTACTTAGGATTGGTCATAATTCAGTTTTCACTTAATGTATTTCAAATGTGATTTCCTACATTTTGTCTTCTGATACATTCAAGCACAGCAGTTCTACAAGATTCACTTTGTCCATACCAGACTTTGTACTCTTAAATATAAATCTTCTACATCTGACTAATAGAGAGCCTCAGTCGAGAGAAATAAATTTGATGGAAAAACTGGAAAGTTGCAAAGAAAATGACTGTGGTTGGAGGGCTAGTGTTTCACCCAGTTGATTTAGTTCCTTTTGGAAAGATGTGCAGTGAGAGGCAACAAAAACACAGGCTAGCTCCCAAAAATGCAGTGAAATTGTACATTGAACTGTGATTGGAATTCAGACTCAGAACCTTGCAAGATGTTCATTCCATGGAAGAAAAGCAACACGTGATCCCAAAAGCAAAACCGTGAGTATCTCTGGCAAAGGACAGTGTGTGATGTTTAGCTAGAATATCCCAGCAGTGCCACTCTGGAATGAAAATTCAAAAAAACTTATCATTTTCAATAGGATCCTTGTTAAAAGCATAAAACACTCATGATGATGTTGAAGGAGCAGTTTCTCAGTAGGAGCAGGAATGAGTCACTGTTTGGAAAACACATGCAGAACTGATGCAGTCAGAAGTACCTGACTTGGGTATAAGTGAGCTACATCTTGTCACAGAATCACGAAATAGTTCAAGTTGGAAGGGATTTTTTAAAGGTCATGTAGTCCAACCCTCCTGCCATGGGCAGGGGCATCTTCCACTAGAGCAGGTTGCTCAGCAAGTAGAATAATCAAACTGTGTTGAGAGGGGATAATCTGTAGGTTTTGAGTGACTGGTGATAAAATTGTTCAGCCTGAGCAGTGACTGAAATGAAGAGGTCAGACTGACATCTTTCTCTAGGGATAATTTCTGGATCATCAGAAGTTAATTTTTAATTCTCCACAAAGTGCTGTACCCTCAGGTAATACTACCTGTGTGAATAGGTACTGCGTGTCTTAACATAACCAAGCTCATGTTTGAGAGGCTGGTTTTAGTATCCTGATTGGGAAAATAAGATCTTTTCCCATAGCATTTTTTATGTATGTGTGAGCAAGATCAAATAGCAAATTTTATTCACTAGTTTAGAATGCTACCCATTAAACAGGATTACTGTGTATTTTACAGCTTACAAAACTGTCTTGTCAGAAAAGTGGCATTTTTAGCTTTCCGTTCCTTGCTGAGAAGTATTTTACAAAATACAAATGTGTAAGAAGTAGTGTACTGAACAATAAGTGAGAATTGAATTAAAATGGCTTTGCATTTTTTTAAAATACCCATTTTAGTAAAATTTTCATGAACGATTCTAACGTTTGCAGAAGTTCTCGCTGAACCAGTGCTTGTTGATTATATTAATTTTTCTGGACCATGGTAAAACATGAAGCCAAAGCTCCATGGGCTTCAGAACACTTTCCTGTGTAACTAGTGAATTAAGTGCAGAAATATTAAAGGACTAAGCATTTCTCTTGATAGTGATAGTGACCAAAATGGCAGTGGAAACATTCATTCTGTTGTACAGCCATTGAAATGAGCTCTCAGGGTGACTCTCTCTGCCCTTTCTGCAGTGAGCAAACCAAAGTTAATATCCTCATAAACAAACTGGAAATTTGAATGCAAAGCTTGTCTAAGCTGGAGAATGATGCTTCTTCCCCTGTACAAGTCTGTGTTGAAAGTAACAACCTGCTAAAGGAAGTAAATTCAGAGCTGTAATTTGTAGTTTATAGATACATTTTTTTTTTTTAGCCTGTCCCTTCTACTTACCCCTTTGTAATAAGTGAGGCTACAAGGGAGGATGCAGGAAAATGCATTCAGAAGTTTGGAGTTTAACCTCTTTGGGGTTGATAACAGATTCACATTTGACTGCAGAGAAGCCAAACCTTTAATTTTGCCTTTGTTTTGTTTGTTTGTTTTACTTGAATGTGATGAAACCTGAAAACCCATATGAAAAATATGGGTTCTTCTGAAGGGAATGTACAGAAATATTACTGATGTGTCCCTCAGCACTCTTTCTCTGCCCTCCACTCCTCTTACACGTGCATGTTGCTTATTCTCTTAAACAGGTGAGGACTTGGCAGTTTCACGAGCCTGACAAAAATTCCACAGTTAAATTAATAATAAAAGCCAATTTCTTCAATAATTAATCACGAGAAACACTGGCATTTCTCTGAGAAGACTTTTCTCAGCTAAAGAGAAATGTGTAACGCAGATTTCCCCGATGCAGAACGAATTTTCATTGCAATGTGCTTCTATTTTAAATTTTGGACATTTGTCCATGACCTTCTTGTTGATTGAACACTCTGGAATATTTTGTCAGGTTTTCCAGCATTGTTGAACTGAGTTAAAATGTAATTGACTAAAAACAAATAGAACAAACCCCTCATCTAATAAATGTCAGTTCATGCTGACTGGAAAGAAAACACCTTGTTCCTGCCCTGTGACCCCGGTGCTTGTGTTAAAGCACAAAGTCTCCAATCATACAAGTGGAACATAAAACCTTTCACTGTTCACTTTCTCCATGTAACCAAGCAGGTATGTGGGAGTGTGGGCAATATAAGAAGCTGGCTTTCTGTTTATGTAGGAATTTGATAGTGCACCTCACAGAGTAGCCTGGTAAAGGCTCAGCCAAAGATAAGGCTCGTTACTGGTGAGCACATGGATGAGATCCTATAGAGTACATGAAGTTAAAGACTGCTCTGGACTTGGGCATGTCTGTGTGGAGCACAGGGCAGACATCCCTCTGCTGATGGTGGCCAGCGCTGTGGCTCCTGAGCTGGCAGAATTCTGCCTGACTTGGTGTGCAGCCCTGCCCTGCTTGTCAGCCCTGCTCAGAGACCTGCACCTTCCTGCAGAGCACTCCTGAACTCCTCATGCAGCGCTGGAGTGGTCCTGTTCTTCAGGAGACATCCTGGAAGATGATGGCCATGATAACAACATTGTGATAGATGAGCCGTGACTGGCATTGCTGTGGAGACCCTCTCCCTTACAGGGAACTTTGTGCTTTGCCATATGCTGACACAGCTTTATTGGCTGGGATGGACAGTGCCTGTTCTTGGCTCTTGTTTCTTCTTCTTTGGAAGTCTATGTAAGTAAGTGTTCACGCCCTGTTTAGTTTATAGTCGGTCTTTGGAGACCCAAGTGGTTGCAAAGAAATCCAGAAAGAGGGTCTGGTTACAGCTGTATTGAAGCACTTCAGGAGCATACTGATGAGCAGAGGATGAAACCCCAGATTTGTAAGCGAGGATTAAACAAATGAAACTTTCATTGTGAATATCTTCTGTTCTTGGGTTCAAAGCCCCTCTCCAAAATCCTTGGTGTCGAGCGTAGTGGCAGGCAGGTTAGTTTGCCCTCTCGCTGGCAGTGGGGGATGTGTCAGTCCCGTAGGTATCCTGCTGCTTGCTTTTCCAGTTTTCCTCTCAGTGTAACTCACTGCTTCCAAGCACAAGCTCCCGACCTTCCCTTGTGCACCCTGCCTTGTTGTGCGCTTTCTCCTGTGCTTTGCACTTTCTGTTTAGACAATAAAAGGACCGAAGGGAAAACAATGTTTCTTTGTGTTAGAAGTGCGGCAGCCTCACATGTCAATATTTCTTTTCCCCCTATGCACTCTGACTTCGTTTATTTTTTTAAACACTTTGGCTTCTTTTGAGGAGATTCGAGTTCCAGAGCAAACCAGTTTGCACAATGTGCTCAGCTTCATGTTGCACTGAACTGATCGCATTTGTTATGTCTACCAGCTGATAGAGTTTTCTGAAAATATTTAGCCTGTAATGTAACCCTCCCTGGTCTTCTGTTTTTATTGCAAACATGCAATTAATCACCCTAATTGTTCCAATTACCCAGAGGCCCAAGTGATTATGATAAAAAAAAAAAAATAAATAAAGATAGTGATGGCATGGTGTGGCTGTAGGACTGAGATGAACACTCAGCACAGCCCAGGAATCTTCTGCTGGTTCTTTTATGTCTGGGGAGATGTCCTGGATGT